GTGCTATTTGATCTGTGAATGCCTCTTAGGCTTTTTGGCATTGCCAAATGTTTTCCAGATTTGTAAGGCTGGTACTTGGTCTCCTGTTAACAATTTCTGCCAGGTGGATGTTCTGCCTCAAGCTGGCATCAGATGAGGCCATAAGGTCCCTCAGGCATCTATTTGTGTTTGTTTTTGTTGGGCCTGTTTGTGTTGTCCACCCCTCCATTGGACTGCTTTTGGACATCCCAAATGTTTTGAATTTCATATGTCCCTCAATGGCCAAAAAAGAAATATTATTTGCAGTAAAACAAAATGTTCTTGGACTCCATTGAGGTACACAGGTCCCACCCCTCTGTGTTTTATGTTTTTGGTGCGGCCTTGCCACAAAACTGAGGCATGCTAGTAGTAGCGGGTTATTCTGGGCTGGCCCACAGTTTGCCAGTGTCCAAACCCTTTGCAGGTAGCAGCGTAATCCTAAGATTTAAGACTTTCTGTGCCCCTCAATGGATTCCAAGAAAAGGATTTTACTGTGAGTACAAAAATCCTATTTTTTTTTTCCATACAAAGTCTACTTTAATATTGTGTTTTTACTCTTTTATACCCTAGGTGGAAAAATAACTCCCATGGGCACACCGGCAACCTCTCCTCCCCCTGTTATGAGCTCTGATGAGTCTTCAAACCCTACAAATGTTTCCTCCACCACAACTCCCCCCAAAAAGGTAAGTTTTGTAAAGCTGATAGCACGGTAAGCCTTGTTCATTGCTCTCCTCTACCCAGTGCATTGCTGACATAGCTGTCTCCATCTTGTAGTATGAAAGCTCCGATCAGTGCAAGCTCAATCAGCAAGTCGTCAAGGGAGAAAAGGGCTCTGGTAAGCTTCAAGTTTACTCTACTCTAGCAATATTATGCGTGCAGGTTATGTATTGTTTAAATCCTTGTAGATAATTGTTTTCCGCCCCACAAATGCACTGGTGAATGTTCCATGTTCTTTAAATTTTATTTACACACTAAAATACTTTTTTTTCTTTAAATTGCTGCTCGCTGTTCCCAGACTGTGAAGGTTAAAGAACTACTTTTCTAGGCACCGTTTGCATCTAGTGTAACCACATAATCGAACCACTTTTTCGGGGAAACGACTCTTTTGGGATCTTGGTTATAACAGTGTTACATTTGGGAAAAAAAAACTGTCATCTGCTCCTCACCCCATAGCTAAGCGGCTATGAATCAAAAACACAAAAACCGTCATGAACCAGTTAGTTTGCTTCTGTATTTTCTATGTCAATCATCATTACTAGGGATGCACAGATACTAAGTACAGTACTCGGTATAAGTATATGTACTGATACTTTTCGAGCTCCAATACTAGACTAGAGAAAAATTCAAAAGTTAGGAGGCCGCTGTCATTTGTAAGGAGCACACGGAGCTCCTGGGATTTGTACATCTCTGTTTTTAATGTATGATTTTGGTTTTATAAACATATATAAAGGGATGCACCGATATCAGTTTTGCGAGTACTGATACTTGCCCAAGTACTTACGAGTACTGATACATTTATGTTTATTGTCATGTGACAGTTTTTCTAAAACAATACAGACTAATGATTTCAGGACAGTGGTGGAGCGCCAGAGCCAGGTCCCAGCTGCAACCGCTGCAAGCCTGGTAGTCCTCATGAAAATGCCAAGTATCGGCACTGGTACTCAAAGTATCGGTGCATCCCTAGTCATTACTATGTGACCTTAAAGGAAAACTCCAGCTGTCTGTGCTCACTGACCAGATTTCCCTAATGAGGACATGGTATGCAATTAAAATTTGAGAGGTTCAAACCTTTGGGAGCTTTTTGGGGGTTCACACCTTGAATTGTGACTGGTTACACACATTCCTGTAAATGGGCCTTTTTATAGTTTGCCTTAAAATTTCACTAACTGCAGTACATACATGTGAACCAACCACATAGGAAAGAATGGGATTTCTACTTAATGCTTCTTTTGATGTAGTAAAATGCATGAGCAGCTGAGGGAGGATTTTACGACTCAAGCTGAAACCTTGTAGTAACTGTTTCTCGCTGTCTGTTTTAACACTGCTTTGCCATGAAACAGAATAGATGCCCCCCTATGTCTGTTGACGAGAGTTCCTGATCTCAGTGACAAAGAAAGTGAGGGGAATTCTCTCCAGTGGGGACACAGTAATACAGATGTAAAAGAGGTTCTCTGACCCTTCCTCCCTTTCCACAATTGAGAAGAAAACAAATTGGCTGGAATTTCATTGTAAAGGTGGCCATACACTCTACAACCATCGCAAGACTTTAGTCTTGCGATGGTTGTAAAGGGATTAAAAAAACGTACGATCTGCCTATCTTGGACAGGCAGATCGCACTCTCGATCATCGCAAGCCTGCCCTCCTGAGGGGCGGGCTTCCGATGACCGCAATGCTGAACGGGCAGTGTGAACGGGCAGTGTGCACGTGCGCACACCGGCCCGTTCAGCATTTATCTTCCGAGCACCGTTCTAACCAGCCGAGAATCGTACGATTCCCGGCTGGTTTTCGAACATGCTGGTTCGACAGAAGACGTGCGACCGTACAGTAGAAACGGTCGCACGTCTCCGTTCACACTGCTCGATTATCGTACGAAAACCCGATCGCATACGATTATCGTACGATAATCGTGCAGTGTATGGGCACCTTAATTCTGGGGTGGCACACACATCAAATTTATTTTTGTCTCATTTTACAAGGTCCTTTTCAATTTGTATTTTGGCCTTCTCAGCTTTAGAAGTTATGACAAAATAAGCAGGTTATACAGCATTAGGAAATCGTAACCAACATTTAGACCAGTGTTCTGTGCACTTTATCTTCTTGGACCTTGAGACTTGCTTTACTTGGCAAACACCTGTGCCAAGATGAGGACTAGTTGTATCAGTGGTAATGTCAGCAGTTAATTCGTTATGGATTGGCTACTGCAAACAAGCAAATGATTGCTGAAGTTGTGCTATATGCTTTTTCTTTTATACCCGCAGAAGACTCTCCCAAAGTTGTGAAGACAGTGTCTCTGAGTGAGCTTTCTGAAGTGATTGAAGTGCTGGCTGCTGACCACAATAATACAGAAGAAGGTGAGCATTGGCTGTCTAATAATTGAGAAAGTCATCCTCTGTCTTCTAGACTTTTAATGGATCTGTCCTGTTACCAAATAACTATGTTTTCATAGTTTCCCACTGTTCTGTTTTAGTAGTCGTACAGTGTGTCTAAATAAGACTGTGCAGTCAGTAAGCACCAGAGTTTGTCCATGCTGCCCAGTGAACTCTGAAAGCTAACAGACCTGGTCAGACGTGCCCCCTCTCTTACTCTGCAATGAACGTTTGTTTAAAGACAACCTTAAGGACAGGTCGCCGTCACTCATGCATGCTAGCATACAGTCCTGGAGTAGGAAGGGAAACTTGGGTGTCACAGTCTACTACTAGTACTCCCAAATTAAAAGACAGTTGTGGCACTAAATAAATGCAGTGCACACCATTCTGAAACTATCAAATCTGCCTGCCACCTCTACCAATGCTGTTTCCAGGCTTGGGTCTATAAAGACTTTTTTTTTTTTTTTAAATCAAACATCAGCTTTATTGTACATAGGACTGATACAATGACATGAGGAGACAGTGTCTCAACAACATAACAGCGTCTTCAATGTACATCTGGGATAGAAAGGTACAATTGTCACATTACACGTATTGCGTACATAGGAAGGCTACTCAGTTCAGCATAGTATGCGTTATATGGCAATGATAACCCTATGTAGTATAACGAAGCAGTTACCGGAGAAATGCAGACAACATGGTCAATACAGTCGGGAATCAGGTATTAGAGTATGAAGTTGGTTATGCCTAACACGGCCTCAGGTAGAAGGACAATTTGGCATTGGGAAGCAAACATGGGTTGGTTGGCAATTTCTGGCTCTCAAGAACATGTAGAACAAGAGTTTGTTTATGTATGGCATCAATAGGGATAGACTAGGGTGGAGGTGTGTGGGTTGGGGTAGAAAGGAGGGGCAGGTAGGATAAGGCGGGTGGGAAGGGAGCCAAGGGGAGAGGAGCCAGGAAAGATAAAAGCAGCAAGGTTGTGGGTCGGGAGCGTAGTGTTCCAGTCCCCGCTAGGACTCAGGGGGGTGTTGTGATCATGGCCTGGTGGTAGGTGTCTGTGTCCTGAAAAGAGGGGGTGGGGGGGCCCTGCCCTTCATCTGATTTTGTCCTTAGTGACTTGACTTTTGTTAAATCATGTCTGACTGGTCCAAATCCCTTAAGAGATCTAACCACTGCTGCAAATGATCCTTCAATTATAGAACATGTGGTGCAGATGGCTGAAGCATTACACTTCAGCTGAGACCATTTGTTGGTAGCCTCCCATCTTATTTCTTGCATGTGTCTCATATCAGTACATATGCGCAGGGCAATATGGGTATAGGGCTGGACTGCTGAGCCCTTGTGTAAAAAAAAAAATATTTGATCCACAAGGCCTTCAAGGGACAATGCCAGCTCTTGAAAACATCATGAAACATGCCATTGGTGGTAAGAGCACTTCTCCAGCGGAAGAAGCCTAAAAAACAGACTGCAAAAGCTGCCCATACACCTTACGAATATCGGCAAATTTTTAGAAAACTTTGGCCGATCGTACGATTTTCGCAAGGCTGGTGGTGTTTCTGTACGTCAGAACTCTTATGATTTACACTGCACATGCGCAGAGGAAAATACGTGTGGTCGATTACAGCAAATTCGTTCAGGTGCTTTCTTTTAATTACCGCTGATCCAACCTTGCAATAATCAGGGCGGGATGGGGCCGCCATATGAAAATCGTAACAACTGTTCGATCATCGGACGAAAAGTGTCATCCGTTGATCGCAAGGTGTATGGGCAGCTAAAGGCTTCTCCCTCTCCGACTGAAGATAAATATGCTTGGCTTAATGTCCACCTGCAAGACCTGGCACTGCTAAATTCTTAGACAAGCCTTTCTCTGCATGAAGGTGCACCCGTGCTTGCCAGAGTGGGAGTAAGGTTAACCTTTGACCATCGATCGTGTGTCCATTTGGGGAGTGATTGATTCCTAACCGCATGTAATTGTATCAAATACAGTTACATGTGTACCGTTGTTCAAATGCAGTGGCTGTCACCTGATAATTAACTTGAATGGGTGGCAGCTGCCACTTGTAATCAGCAGCTTGGGGATTCCTCCTGCAGGAAAACACAAGTTCCTGATGCAGGAACCCCTAATCGCACCTAAAGATATAGCTGTGAATGAGACCTAAGTTGGTAACAAGTCACAACATGAGTGGCTACAACAAGAGATGATGAGAAATGTGCATTCATAGACAAGAACACATGACTTGCTGTCCAAGCACCACAATGTATGCGATCTTGACATCTAAGGGAAATATGTTCCTTCCAGAATTAGACGCTGACCCTGGATGATACTGAAACAAAGATGGCACTATCCTTCTGTGGCAGGAGAGAGACAAAGCCATTGTCAGGGCCAGCTCTGAGTTCTTTTATATAGGTGATAAATGCCTGCACATATTACTTCGTATGCATGCAGATAATAGGAAAAAAACATATGACACGAGAGGATCCCTGAGCAGATATCACCCTTTTTAAAGTACTAACTGTTGAAATGCAATCTTTATTGTCTCCACTTGCAGGAATAAAGAAAAACGGTAAGTTGGTAGGACCATAAAGGTAACTCAAAATGCCGAGCTGGCACTATGGTTGGTGATCACAGATGGTGCCTTACAAACTGGGAAGGTGAGGGGGGTGTTTACACATGTTTTACTTTGCGCACTGGAAAAAGTTTTGGTCCCCCACACCCCCAAAAAAAGTATTGAAGAACTCTTAAGCACTATTTCTATTCAGGCTGGACACCTACTATAACCCAAGTAGGATTTCTAAAATAAGTTAGAAAAATGTATAGACTTAATGTTTCTGTCATTTTATATTTATTTTACTAAATGCAAATAATCTACTAGCTCCCCTTACCAGTATTGGCTTTCTTTCCAGTGCTTCGTGTATCACTCATGATGGTTCTATGGTGTAGGTAGACACAGACCCAGCTTGGTTCCCACTTGTTCCCAGTGCTCTTAAAGTGAACTTGTGCTTTGCCCTTTTCTTCCTTGCCAAACCTACATTGTGCTGAAGACTCCTATGTGACAGCTGGGTCTGTCACCAAGCGCTTGTGATGCCACCTATACCCAAAAACGCTTCTCTCCAGTCAGCTAAATGAAGTGGCAATTAGATCAATATGTGCTTTGGGGAGGAGAGCATTACAGTGACCCTTTTTGCCTTTGTACACAAAGCACAGGTTTGCTTTTAAAGTTGGGCAGGCCCAGACAACATATTCTCCTAGGTGTATGGTTTAGGAGTTTCATTTATTTCTTAACAACCTTCTTAATTTCAGAAACTTGGGCTAAATTTTAATTTCATTTAGAGGTCTAAACGTTTCTGCCATTAGAAAAGTTGTGCTTTTGGTTTAGTTTTTTTTTTCTAGACAAGAGTTCTTCTTTAAGAAAATTAAATAAAACGGAGCTATGCTCTATTTAATCTGGACATAATGCTTTCCAGGAACCAAACCCCTGAATTAAGTTCATGTGTTTGTTCTGCAGCTGCTATATCCCAGGAGCTGTGCCAGATCACTACGTCCGAACATGAGCCTGTTGTACGCCGCGGAGGCTTTGACTCCCCCTTCTGTCTTCATTACGACAGCCAGCCTGCCCCTTCAAAGAAGAACCACGCCTGCAATGTGACCCAGATCTGTGACCACCCAACCGCTGACAAGCTCCACTGCAACAGGTCCCAGGACAACTTAAAACAGGCATTCACTCCCATTGAGCCACCCAATGGCGCAGAGAATGACAACTCAGGGAAGCCACAGACTACTGACTCTTTGCCCACTGACAGGAACATTCTTACTCCCAGTCCTTGCAAATCTCAGGCCCGCTGCAGATCCTGCTTCAATCCTGCCCCTTACGAGCACCTTTTTGAGCTGGCTTTGCCTAAAACGGCAAGCCTTTTTATCTCCAAAAAGACAGAAGACCTGTATAGAAAATTCAAAGGGAGCAATGAGGAAGCCGAGGAGGACAGCACATCCGTCTCTCCTGCTGAGGTGCTCGACCGGCTCATACAGCTAGGAGCTGATGCCCACACCAAAGAGCTGAACAAGTAAGGACTGGACTGTATGTATAGAACACTTTTTTTGTTTTGTTCAGTTGCGCACAGTGTTATCTCTCCATACAGCCTATTGGGAGTGAATTTAAAGGTTAAATCCTGCAAAAATGGTTTTTAATAGGGTGAGGAAGGGTTTTTGTTAATGATATTCTATTGGGGAGATTTCTCTTTGCCAGATGAAGAGAATGGGGGAAGCCTCTCGCCCAGACAGGGAGTGAGTGGAAGTCTTTCCAGTGAGGGCGCAGACAGATATCGACAAATTCGAACCTTTCTCCACTCTATGCCAAATAAGTTTTGCTTGGAGTTGTATGTTATCTTGGTTAGTGACTCAAAGTATTGAAGCCCAAAGGGTCAGCATGTCTGCCAGGCAAAAGCGCATTTGCAGGATGAAAAATGAGCAATTGTAGCCTTCATGTTTCTCCGTAGTAGTTTCCTTTTTAGTTGGCAGCTAAAAATCTGATTTTTATTTAGGTTTGTTCTGTTGAATCGACAAATGTTATCAAGAGCTATGCAGGCTTACCCGAATAGATATGAATTGGCTGCGTTTTTGGTATGCCTTCACATTACATATTTGTTGGCATGTTTTTAAATTTAATGTCTTAGGAGTCATAAGGGCCTGCTGCTGTTAATGTGCTTCAGGAAATGATAGTTGCCTGACTGTTATGTCGACCTACTGACTTGTATACTTCTGACATTCTGACCTGGAACTAGCATGCAGATCAGAAAAGTCTTGAGTAAAGTCAGATGTCCTTATCTGTGTATTTGTCCCAAACTAGCAGCTCAAAATTACAGCCAGGGAAATAGAAATTTCAGAGGAAGAGGCCAGTGATGGCGGCCTCCATATTTCTCCCTTGACACATTCCCTTTTTTAATACAAGAATGTATATGACAAGGTTAAGTTTGTTCTTATTATAGCAATATGAATCTGCGCTTATGGATTAAAAATCACCCCAATGGTTTAAAAGCTGCTATACAAAAACGCAAAGTTCCTCAAAATCTTAAATCCAACTGCACAGCGCTAGAAAACCTCACATCGGGAGTAGCATGAATAATCAATCAATAAATATTGCAAATATGTTACATATATCGTAATAAATATAAATGAGTGAAAAAGTGTATCAAAATATCACATCAATAAATAAAGTGCCACAGCAATTAATAAATATAGGACTGATGACATAAATATTCAAAATAAATAAAATTCAGAATGAATACAAGTCAGAAGACAGTCCAGTAGTGAAAATAATAAATAAAGTTTGTTCCAGGTGAAAAAACTAACTCCAAGTTCATAGTGTATACATCAGATAAGTGTTAAATATTCCCAAAAGTTCCAATAGATATCGTGCTCTCCACGTGCCAAGAGACGCCCCCCAGGATTATGTGCTCACTCCAATTCTAGACTGTCAAATAACAGTCAAACAAGCGGAATACGAATCGGAGACCGCTTTCAACGTCCTCCTTCCTCGTACTTCCTTTTCATATGCGCTCGTATCAGATGTTTAGTCATATCAAAGACAAAAATGAAAAAACCTCCATGGTGCAGCATCCAAAGAATAATTTATTAAAAAATTATTTATTAAAAAATAGTAAACTCACTTTTAATGTATTCTTTTGGATATGGTGAGTCCATAATCACGGGGGGGGGGAAGGGGTCTCTTGGCACGTGGAGAGCACGATATCTATTGGAACACTTATCTGATGTATACACTATGACCTTGCAGAGCATTTGTTTTTTCACCTGGAACAAGCTATTTATTATTTTCACTACTGGACTGTCTTCTGATTTATTTATTTTTTATTCATTCTGAATTTTATTTATTTTTAATATTTATGTCAGTCCTATATTAATTGCTGTGGCACTTTATATTTATTGATGTGATATTTTGATACACTTTTTCAATAATTTTATATTTATTACGATATATATGTAACCTATTTGCACTATTGATTGATTATTCATGCTACTCCCGATGTGAGGTTTTCTAGTGCTGTGCAGTTGATTTTGTTCTTATTGCAGTCTGTATCCTCGCTGAAAAGATTTTTCTTCACTTTCTGTCCCATTCCCTGTTACCAGGTTGGGAAGCGAGGCGAAATCTTCACAGTGGAGATGCAGACCTCAATTAAAACCAGGCATTGGTTCTAATAACTCTTGCCCACTCTTTTAAAGAAAAAGAAACATTGGTTGGAGTTCCGCTTTAATATTAAAATGTCTTTTTGTTGTTCTGCTTTGCCATTCAGGTTGCCTTTACCCAGCAAATCAGCTGACTGGACTCATTTTGGAGGTATTCCTTTTTGTTTTAGATTTATAGCGGACAAATGTGTAGAGGTTTTGTGGCCAGAACCGTGTCCAGGTGGGGGCTGCTTGATGATCAAAGAGTTTGGCTACAAACACATGGCCAATAACACGGTCACTAAATTCTTGTTCAAAGATCTTATGACCAGATTCTCCATCCTGAATCATTTTGCTTCTGATATTCCAGACTTTTAAAATAATTTATAAGATGACCTGATTTAACCGTATATGAACAGCTTTAAGAGCTTAGTCTGCTTTCGGAATACTTGGCCAGGGGCAGTAGTATTGGCAGGGAAACACGGCAGTAAGAGACGACATTTTATAAACGACATATTGTGCAGATAGATTTTAAAAGAATGATTTCTTTAGTGACTGCTAAAGATCACATGTGCTTGTGATGGTCAATAATCTTTGTCGCAGGGTGAAATTGATGGATCCCCTTTTTCTCAATTGATAACCGAAATCTGTGATTGCCTCCAGGACTTCTTCATTATTTATATTTCTATCTTCTATATAGTATGGGCATGTTTATTATGCAGTGCTCTATTTAGTTTTGTTCACATCAATCCCTCCTCCCTTAGGAGCTCACAATCTAATTTACCTGCATTATGCATGCACCTGCTAAAAGCAATTTTTGGGAGCCTATTAGCAAGCCAGTGTGTTTTTGGATTGTGGGAGGAAAGCCACACAAATGGGGAGAACATGCATAGTCAGGGCTTGAAAAATCCGCTCATCCTCTCGTCTGTGACGAGAGGACGCCAGAGCCCAACCGGCACGGCTGCTCTGTGACGGGAGTTCAGTATACGATCTCCCTCTGATCTCCTCTCCGTCCCCAAATGTAGGAAGTCATGTATATTACATCACTTCCGCATTCTGCTGTCACTCTCCAGTTTTAGAAGCTGCTGAAGCAGATCTCTGCTTCATCAGCTTCTCTGGGGGTCCCTAGGTGACATTAGGGGTCTTGGAGACCCCTGATGTCTCCATGAAGAGGACCTGTAATGTCAATTAGCTATCACATAAGAGGCCTCTTAGCCCCCCTATGTGATAGCAATAAAGTTGAGTATAAAAAAAAGTGATTAAAAAAATTAAAGTATAAAAAAAAACACATTTAAGTCCCCCCGCCCCCCCACATGCACACACAAACATGCGTCCGGTTCACCTACGTGCAAAAACGATGATTGTGCCGCACATTGTCACCGCGGACGTCTGAGTGAGAGCACAATTTTAAAGCCTGGCATGTTTGGTGTCTATTTACCCGCCTTGACCCGTTTTTTTATATTTTACCAATAATATGGGTAAGAATAAATGTTTTTTAACAGAACGTAGGTAAAACATTTTCTTTTCCGAAATTTATGGTACTTTTTTCATTTATATAGTAAATAATAAACCTCCCCCAGTGGTAATTATATACCTCCAAAAGAAAGCTGTGTCCCTAAAAAATGTTAACATAAATTGCAAGGCTTTAGTCCGGTCATGCTGACTGGTGAGACACCCTAACATTTTTCAAGCCCTGTGCATAGTCCATGCACTTATTCACAGTGCTGCCGTCATATGACTGAATGTCACCTAAGTGAGGCTGTTGTAGGTCAGTCCTTTTCTCTATGTTCACCTCGCTTTAAAAACATTGAGAGGAGCCACAATTTCCTGCAGAGCTGGTCTTGTCTATATTTAAACAGTTCTGCGACTCCTTTTGCGTATTCTTGTTTTCTTTTTATTTCTTTTAGAATTCTAGGTTTTAAAAAAAGCAGGGAATGATTTATGTATACGATGGAAATATGTTCTAATCCTAGATATAGATAATAACTATACAGTTTGTATAAAAAGTCATTCCCCTTTGGAAGCTTTCATGTTTTGTTGTCCCAAAACATTAAATCACAGAGGATTTATTTTTAAAAGAACACTGCATTAGGAATGAAGGTTTAATTATAGTGCTGGCCAGGATGACCAGGAACTCTGAGGCCAATAAATCTACATTACTAAGACAGTGAAACAAATTCTGATTGCGCAGCCTACGAAGCCAGATCTGTGACTCGCATTAACGATTCTGCAATTTTCACCTGTACTTCAGGCATCAGCTCTTTTTGATTGAAAATGTAATGGGGAGTACGGGGCAGTGTCAACAGCAACCTATGCAATCTGGTAATGTTGCAGTACTGTGTTCTCCTCTTCTCATGCACATAGATTTTCAATATTTCAATTGCCTAAAGCCCCCCTAATCAGGCCCCAGACCCCATAGCATCCATGCGAGCTGCTATGGCATTTGTTAGACTGCTACTTGGACAACCTCTTTGACGAGGGTGCTGTCAGACAGCTTATCTCTGACTGACTTTCCAGACATTGCAAAGGTTCGGGTGGATCCTTAAACCTTCAGAAATCGTCGATGGAACTGTCTCATTTCAAGTATCTGGGTCTAGTCCTGGACACGTTTCAGGCCAGAGTACTCCTTTATCAGTAAAAGCTTTAATGTTCTTATTGTGGGTTAAAACTCTTCAATCTAGAAGCCATCTGACTCTCTGCATGGGAGTCTTGGGGCTTATAGTAGCCTCCTTCAAGGCAGTTCTCTTTGCCCAAATTCACTCCAGGCATCTGTAACAAAATATTCTGTCATTATGGGGCAGACCAGTCGAGTCTCTGTACAGATTGATTTCAGCTGACACCAAGGACCAGGATATTCCTGGCTTGATGGCTTAGGAACCCGACTCTGAATTTAAGAAAGTCCTTTTCTTCCTCTCTTTTGGAAGATTCTCACAATGGGTGCTTGCTTGTTGTGCTGGGTAAAAGGGGGAGGGGGGGGTGGGGTTCCGGGTTACCTTGTTGGTGCAGGAGACTTGGTTGGGAGAGGAATCTCGCCTCCTGATAAACATCTTGGAGATTTGGGTCCCTTCCTAGTAGTCCCTTCAGTGATGGAACAGCCTGTTTGAGGGCCATCTAATCTGCACCCAGAAGAGTGGTCTCTACACCTGGAGGTGTTCCTGGAACTGTGCCACAGGTGGTGGTTGCCAGATTTTGACCTTCTGGCCCCCAGGTTAAAAAACATACTGGACAGGTTTGTCGAGATAGAGGGCATCCAATTATCTTTATTGCTCCAAATTGGCATAGGCAGATGTGGTACGCTTACCTGGTAAGACTTCTAGCAGACGCACTGCCAGGCCATCAAGATATTCTCTGTTAATGGTCACTGCTTCTTGGTCCCCTGACTTTAACAACATTGCTGTTGAAGCCCAGGTTCTGAGACAGGCCCATCTCTGAGTCTGATTCCTTTGCTTGGCTCTGGATCAGCAAAAGGAAGTTTTACCTCCATTGCCTGGGTGTGTTTTGAGCTGTTTCAGTCAGTCTCTCAGCCACTGCTTCTTTCAGAAAGATTGGTTCACTTTTTGGCATTCCAGATGTGACCGTAGGCTCACTTAGATTTGCAATGCTGCCACCTTTTCCTCCCTTCACTCGTTTGAAGTTCTTCCAGGTGGACTTTCCGCCTCATCTTTTGCCAGATTTGGGTGTTGGGTCCTTCAAATGGCTCTTTGGGCTGCTGGCAATCACCTAATTCCTCAGTTGGACTACTGTTGGATGCTTAAAGTTTTAAGACTTCCCATGTCCCTCATTGGATGAGAGAGGATTTTAGTACCCAAAAATTATTTTCTTGGAGTCCATTGAGGCACACGGGTCCCGCTCCTTGGTGTTTATGGTCATGCTCTCAGTACTACTTTGCCACAAGACATGCCTGTATTGGGGAGGGATTATCCTCTTCTGGCCCACAGTTTTTTTTTTTGCCAGGGTCCAGTCCTTTTTTAAGGTTTAAGACTTCCTGTTTCCCTCAATGGACTCCTAGAAAGGATTTTATGGTGAGTATAACCACTTACAATGGTTTATTAAGCAGAGCAGAATGGACCAAATAAGAAAAGTTAATTGTTCGAGTTTACCCTTTTAAGTCACTCTGCAGATATATCTCATTGACATTGAGTATATTCTGTTCTTTAATCTGTTGATCAATGTAAAAAAACATCATTAAATCCACTGTGATTCAATGTTCTGTGAACAATAAAACCTTAAACCTGCCAAAGGGGGTGAATGCTTTTTATAGGCTCTGCAGAAAAGGTTAATTGCCCAAACCAACAAACCAGATATAATTTGTCACTTTTCTAGTTCAGGAATGTGGGCCACACCATTTTTCCCCCCCAATTTTCAAAATATACCCATCAGATTGTGTCTTAAGGATGCACAAGTGGTTTAAGCTTGGTCTCTGGAGGATCAGGTTCACCAACTAGAAGATGATCCTCAAAATGTGACCCTCTGTTGGGTAATTGTTGGACTGAAGTCAAACCAAGTACTACACAGATCATTTTCTTTAAATCACGGTATTTGAATGTTGTTTTAGAAGCGTAATACACCTGTTTATGCAGCCTGAACCTTTCCCTCTGTTGTGGAACTACAAATCCCAGCATTCCTTTCCAGGTTTTCTACTCCTGTTATATTTCATCGTACCAGTTGTATAGACTTGATTTTACTCATCAGGTTCTCCTCCAACCGATGAGATCCACACACTGCGAAACCAGTTGGTGCTTCTACATAACCAGCTTTTGTATGAGCGATTCAAGAGGCAGCAGCATGCTCTACGCAATCGCCGTCTTCTGCGCAAGGTCATCAAGGTGACAACACTTGAGGAACAGAATGCTGCTATGGTGAGTTCTCCTTTTTATATGTATGTAAATAAGTATGTATATGTATAGGTAGATATAGCAGTCCTCTCTTGGATCACCAGACAGTGAGGCGAATGTGTTAAAAATATATTGTTCTGTATATAAAATAAGGTGAATCTGTAAAGAATATGTGTTTAGTTTATTCAGTGATTATTCAGTTTGTTGTATGAGTGTTTTTTGTTTTTTTTAAATGATTTTAAAGGAGAACTATGGGGTTAGGGCTTTTCCCCATAATTCTCCTCCTTAGGGTAACAGGAGGACACAAACTAGCTCACGGTATACTGAGACGCCGCAGCTGAAGCAGATCCCGACAATTATGTCTGGATCCGCCCAGCTGCGTGCGTGAGAGCTAGCTGTACCCGCCCCCTCCCCCGTCCGTTCCGCCAGTCAGCGCTGGAGGATCGGAGCAGGGAGGGGGGAATCCAGCCCCTCCCCTGTCACGGCAGAGAGCCGTGACAGGATCAAGAAGTGAGCAAACGCCAGTATGTGTTCGCTCACTTCCCGATCTACTGAGCTGATCTACTGGGTCGGCTAGAACTATGAGGTGAGTGAAAAGCACTCGCCTCATAGTTCTCCTTTTAACTATATTTTGATTTGTGTGTGAAAGTACTTGTAGCGGGGCGGAGTGATCAGAGTCTCAGGAGTCAAAACTTATGCACTACTGGGGAAATGTTGGCACATTTCTTATCCCAGAGGTACAACATGAAGTGGGTAGAAATCCCAGCTTTGACAGAAGCCCACTTTAACAACAACTCCTGTCAACAGCAATAAAATGATTATTCCTTTGTCGTGGTGACGATGCTGACAAAGCTAAAAAGTGAGGGTGGGTCTTCAACAGGAGCACAGCCGTAAATGTTTGCAGAGGTTCTAACTTCTCTCTACTACATCCATAGTTTGAGAACATGTTATGACTGCATTTCCATTTTGCTGATACCGGCACTGGTTTCCCAATGGGCCCATAAAACCCATACAGGCTATAACAATGGTATCCATAGACCCCTTTGGCTGTTGGCTTTTAAGCAGCATTGTTAGAACAAAAATGTGACTCTTAAGACCTCGTTTACACGAGAAAAAGCCGGCACGTACAGCTCTGCGCTGCATGCTCGGCTGTATCGGGCAGCTCCCAGGAAGGACAGGTGCTGTGTGTGATTAGTACTCAGCCCCTGTCCTTCTCTATGGGAGCACGCGGCTGTACACCGCCCTACTGTCTGCGTCCGAGCCAGGACACCCTCACCTGTACGGACCTGCACTTGAGGTGAACGTAGGGTGTTGTATGGCCGCATACTCCCATAGAGAAAGACGGGCTGCATACTAATCACAGGTCCGTGCGGGTGCGTGTTTTCTGGCTCAGACGCAGGGAGGATCCGTCCTGTCAGCGTACGAGTACGCTCACCCGCACGGAGGTGAGCGTGGGGGGGTGTAAGGCCACACGCGCAGCAAATCACACGCAGCACCTGTCCTTCCCGGGAGCTGCCTGATACGGCCGTGCACGGAGCTGTACGTGTCGGCATTTTCTCGTGTGAATGAGGCCTTAAAGTCTTATTTTTGGTAACTTTGAATATTTTGCACTTCCCAACAGTCACCAGCAGAGGGCAATCCTCATTAGAAAAATAGATGGAATCTTTTCGCATCAACCACATAACGGACTCAGGTTGTCCTGGGTAGATTGGTTGTCTCCAAGCTTACAGGCTCTAATCTTCTTCTTTCTGGATCAAATGCACAGTGTACCAGTGTAATTACAGAGGCACTCGGTGTTAAAGAATGTTAATGTATGTTTTCTTTGAAACAGAATAGATTGACTCACAATGGATAGTGTTCACTTGGTGGGCAGGTAGCTTGATCAGGCACATCAGAGACTCGCCTTCTCTTTCTGAGAGCGTGGACTGTTGCTAGAGATCAGAAACCTAGATTTCTCTGCAGCTGTGATGTGACTGCTCCAATAATGGTGATCAATCAGTATCCCAGACAGGAGTTGCTTAGATGTGATTCACTCATGGTTCCAGCTGGAGTAAATCAAGAATGCCCAATGTATTTTATGTCTTGTTGCTCTTTCCTTTTAGTTAAAGACATACATATTGCAGTATGGTAGGTCTTGTACTTGTGTATAGTTCATAAACTGCTTAGAAAAAGCACAGTTTCCACCTTTTTTCATATGCTGGTCTTTTTCTTTCAGAAAGGCCAGCTGAAGATGCAGGAAGCAGATCTCCAGGCCATAAAACAAAGCCTTTTTATAGAGCAGGCACGGTACAAGAAACTACAGGAAGAGAAGGACACTGTGGTCAACCAGCTGCACAGCCAGATACGGCAACTCCAGCATGACCGGGAGGAATTCTACAACCAGAGCCAGGAATTGAAGGTGATGCTTCAGATCCACTTGAGTAGCAATTATTTATTTTTAAATCAAGGGTCCCCCCCATTTTCTTTAAAACAAAAAACATATCTGGCAGCAAGGCTCACCTACTCTTGCGGCAAAGCTGCCCGCCTACAGTAATTGTTTTCTGCCACTAGATGCCCTCAGTCAGGGGTAGACTGAGGACATCCTATGAGTGGAGAGAGCTGCACTTCCATACAATGATGAAAATAACCACGCTGACCACCTACCACCAGAAAAGATCCAAAGAGAAAGGGGAAAAGCAAACCGTACGGCCGGTGGGGGCAGCCAGAAGTTGTGGGGCTTTGACCAGTGCATACACTGGCTTTAGATCAATGGTCTTAGCACTATTCAGGATACTTAAGGGAGAACTATAGGGTCAGGGCTTTTCCCCATAGTTCTCCTAAGGGTAACGGGAGGACACAAACTAGCGATCTCCCGTCACCCTAAGCTCAGTATACCGCGAGCGAGGTATACCGAGATGCCGCAACCGGGACGGATCCCGACAATACTGTCGAGATCCACCCAGCTGTGTGAGTGACAGCTGGCTCTGCTTATCTAGAGGCAGAGGCAGCTGTGCACGCCCCCTCCCCCATCTTTTCTGCCAGTCAGCGCTGGAGGATCGGACAGGGGAGGGGCGGGAATCCCTGCAGGGAGCCGTGAGTGACAGTCACGGCTCTCTGCAGGGATAAATCGAGAAGTGAGCGAGCGACGCTATTAATTCGCTCACTTCCCGATTCCCTCTAGTGATAATGAAAAGAATAATATTTATATTTAAAAAATATAAAACAAAATATTTGAAAATAAAAAATATTTTAATATGTTTATAAAAACTGAAAAAAGCCTTTTCTTTCCAATAAACTTTTTCATCATATTTCCTCTCCTATTTTCTAGGAAAATATAACTAATGGTGCTGAACCAGACTTACAGCCCCTCCACTTAACAAAGCCTATGCTCCCGTCCACTTTAAAGAGCTCTGGCTCTGACATGGGGCCGAGACAGCTGTGGTGGATCACCGGTCTTTACTAGCAAAATACATAAGGGCGGGGGGGGTTTTTGGGTGCCTCCAGCATTAAAACTTCAAGAGTTTGGGGGTGGACTAAAGCTGAAAACTAACATTCTTCTTATTGTATTGGCACAGAGTAAGCTGGAGGACTGCCGCAATACGATAGCTTATCTGCGGTCTGAGGTGAAACAAGCTAACAACAAGGTGTGCCACACGGAGCTCAGACTCAGTCAGGTGTCTCAAAAGGTGAGATATGTCTGTCATTAGTGTGTGCAGTTTTAGTCTACTTTTTCTTGTATTATACTGTCCGTTAGCGGGGGTTAGATTCGTCCATCGCCAGAAATGGCAGCTGCCGTGAGCCTGCAAAGTCAGGAAGCCATTCTCAGCCTAATATTATGGTATTGAAGCTTGGGAAGCAAAGGTATTGTAATAGCTCTAGGGCCACGAGGGTCCTATAATGAAAGAAACACAAAAGGCTTCTACTACATCGGTATTCCTACTATTTTTAGGATGAATAGTAAGTAAGTAAGATATATATATATGTAAGGAAAGTGCGTGAACACGTGAAACAAATCACATTGTCCTGAAATAAACTAAAAATGATTCTCTTAGCTAGAACTAACCTGAACAGGGAGGCTGGGTGGTTGTAGTAAGATATAGGCAGTCCCTGTAGGGGAATCTATGAATGTGTATGTCCTGTAGAATAATGGATGTCTGGTACTGCAAGCAGCTGAAAAGGCACATAATATAAGGTACATTTTCTACTAATAACCTAAAATATGTGCTAAGCAAAATACTTTATAGTTTTCCTTTTGTATCAGCCCTTTCTACTTCTAATTGTTTCCTTTACCCTCTTTTATGATTTCTCTATTTTTGCCTTATCCTTCAGGTCCGGCCCACTTTTCTTTAAATTTTTTACTGCTTCGGCAGCCATTACTATACAAAAAGATCCTCCTGTGTGTTCAGGTAACATAGCTGCTGAAGAGCACACTAACCGGATTGTAACTGCCCATCAGGCACACAGTTGCCTCATAAAAGATGCTTATGTAGTTTATTGCAAGATGATTTTTTTTCAATTTTTTTTTGTAGAATTTTATTGCCTCAAACGTCTAGGGGGAAAGAGTGTTGAGGTACAGCATACCTAAAAACAGCAGCAAGAATTCCCTTCACTCCAGAAAAAATTCCTGGGGTATCTTTAATCACAGACCAAGGTTGACCTCTTTTTTGTCTTTGCCAAGGGCTATTGTAGATGAGTCAGGCCAGATGGAATCCACCTCTAGGTATTTTCCGCCCCTCTTACAGGCTAGTTGTGGACCTTTAAGTTGGGATCGGCATTTTGTAGTTGTTGACCTCTAAGCCAAGACCAGCAGTTTGACCAAGCGGGGTACCTTGAAGCGGAACTTGACCCACCAGTTTTCTATTGCAAGATGATTTTTAAGGGAGTGTTATCCTTTTATTTGTGTGTTTGCATCCCTGAGCTTATCAGTCTTCAGGAAAGAGCTGAGGGCTGTGTAAGTCTGGCCCCCTATCTTTGATTACTTGTATGAGTGTATTCTGGGGGTGGCAGTGTGTTTTCTATAAAGAACTTTCTGGATCTAACCTGTGTTTTTAATCTTTGTGTGGAAAGCTGTCAAACAGCGAGTCTGTACAGCATCAGATGGAGTTCCTGAACCGGCAGCTTCTGATTCTCGGGGAGGTGAATGAGCTTTATGTGGAACAGCTGCAGCATAAAAACACCAATGCTGATAAGGTATGTTCTATTCTGCGTACATTATGACTACGGAAAATGCCTGGTGAAACCGCCTGCTACTCCTTTCTGTACCAATTCTTGAAGCCCAAAATGTTTTCATTTGTTTAGGAAGAGTTGTAAGGGTTTGAGTCTCATCGGGTTTCTATAGTCTTTGTCCCTATTTAGAGACTTGTATGATAAATGTCACCAGCACACCTATGTCTTGTGCCAATAATCCATCTTCTTTATTGATGCAGACTGTCACAAAACAAGGTGTGCTGGTGACATTTATCATATATTTGAAGATGCACGGCGCCATCAATGGTTACTTCAGCACCCTCCTTTATACATAGGGGTTCCGGTAAGGAGTGCAGCAGTTCCTCTCCAAGATTGCCTATTTGGAGACTTTCCCTTTGTGTCAGAGGAAGCGACGGCAAATCATATGGAAACAAAGGCAATGCGCAGAAATTCTGACATTGTTTTTATTACTGCCCATGCCTTCCTGCCGCAAGTACATCACCACCCTTGTTTCTAATAGGGGCATCACAGAGATGGAAAGGGAAAATATCCCCAGTGTGGGGGTCACATAAATATATAACTCTTCCCCACTATATCCAAAACTTAAAATTGTCTAAAGTTTGGCTTTAAGCGTGCAAATTCTCTGGACCTGCTGAAATTGTCATGAGCACTGTGCGGAGCATTGTGTGACCTCAGGTAGATCCGGTGTTAGAATTTAAACATCGACAGAGCTTTTCTGCTTACTGTTAGGAAGATGCAACTGTTCCCCTAATATATCCTGTCCATACCCAGCTAATAGGGTTGGTGTGGGATGTAGCTAGGGACTTGTAATGCATATTTATGAAATGAAGAGGTTTGCAAGTACTAATCAGCAATAATACTAGTAAACTATTTTATTACCTAGGGAACACTTCGAAAAAATGATCTGTTGATTATTCCAGAAATCCAGCGAGCTTGTAACATCGTGTGTGCTCTGCCACCGCCGCAGTGGTATTGACTCCGTCTAGTTCACTTCTGTGAGCTGCAGAATACCCCCTATGTTTTGGAAAGGGGGGTTACGGGAAGTATTCTGTAGTGGAGCAAACAGCCTGGGGTGGCAATACTGCTTCTCCATGTATACAGTAGTAAAACTTAAGAGAACTATGGGGGTAAGTGTTTTTAACCATAGTTCTCTTAAGGTTCATGGGAGGACATATACTAGCGTCCTCATGTGACCCAAAGCTCAGTATATCGCCAGCTACAGCTCGCAGTATACTGAGGCAGCCGGGACGGATCCCGACATTACTGTCGCGATCCACCCAGCTGCGTGAGTGACAGCTGGCTCAGCTCTGGAGGATAGGAGAGCGGACGGGGGGAATCCCTGCGTGGAGCGTTGACTGACCGCCACGGCTCTCTGCAGGGAGATGATCGAGAAGTGAGCGTGCGACGGTATGCGTTCGCTCACTTCCCGATCTATTGAGCCGACGTGTGACAGTTTAATTGTCACATGTCGGCTCCAACTATGAGGATGAGTGATTTTCACTCGCCTCATATTTCTCTTAAGGGGAAAAAAGGAACATGAATGCAGCCAGTTTTATGTTCTTGGGAACACTTTGTGTTCCTGTTTTTTTTGAACATTTGGTATAATTCTTTATCTGACAACATAACGACTTCTTGGACACACTCTGCACGTTGCTAATTAAAGATTTGAATAATAGCATGTCATGGTGTCATCGCTATATAGATGTACAGTTAGACAAACAAGAGAAGAGTGGCGGGGAACTCGGCAATATAGAACTGGATTAGACAAACTCCCGGCATGCTTTGGCAGTGGTGGCTGAAATGGAATATCAGTTCTCACAGTTCCCTTATTGCCTGGAGGTCCATAGGGTGCAGTTGCACATTTGACACTACTGTATGATTGCTGACATAAATCCTGTATTCTGCACAGGAAGTGGAGATGCTGCAGGCCTCCTTTAAGAAGGAACTGGAAAAGGCTCGCATTCTGGTGGTTCAGCAAAGCCAGAGACTGGAGAGCACCCAGAAAAGAATATTGGAGCTGGAGTCTCAGCTGGCCAAAAAGGAACTGCACTTCCAGGAACAGAAGAAGTTTCTGGAAGATGTCAAAGTCAAGAACAGGTAAGAGTTGTGGATTCTCATGTGTAGACCTATCCTGATTTTATTGTATGTGACCCATGGAACTGTCCTGTTAACTAAGCCAATTTTTATGTTGGGTGTGTAATGTCTCATCATTGCTCACCCACCCTTCACCACCACTGGCGTTTCTAACCAGGAATTGTGTTATCCTGCGGTGATGCTCACAGGTTATAGCCAGCATTATGGATTGGCTAGAAAGGATGTGGATGTATTGTGAAATTTACACATAGAAGTGACCGAAAGAAACCAATTGCAAATAATTTCCTTTAAGCCAGACCCGTAGAGAAGCTGGATCTTGATTGTTTGCTATGAGTATTATTTATTATCATTATTATTACACAGCGCCAACAATTTGCTCAGCGCTTTACAAAATAGTGGAGACAGTACAGTTACCATACAATTTACAATACAATGCAGTTTCAGTACAATAGGGTTAGGAGGGCCCTGCTCGTGAGACCTTACAATCTAGTAGGAGGGGCAAGCGATACAAAAGGTAATCATTGGATTGAGTTATTGGAGGAAGTAAAAGGCAGTTATGTTGAGATGAGATAGGCTTCCCTGAAGAGATGGATTTTTAAGGATCGCCTAAAGGTGGACAGCGTAGGAGATTGGCGGACAGAATGGGGTAAGGAGTTCCAGAGGATGGGGGACACTCTGGAGAAGTCCTGGAGGCGAGCATGGGAGGAGGTAATTGGAGAGCAGGAGGTCTTGAGAGGACGGTTTGGGCGATATTTTGTGATGAGGTTGGAGATGTAGCTAGGGGGCAGAGTTGTAGATGGCTTTGTATGTTGTTGTTAGTATTTTGAATTGTATTCGTTGGGCAAATGGGAGCCAGTGGAGGGATTGGCAGAGAGGGGAGCGGCAGACACTGAACGGTTGGTAAGGTGGATGAGTCTGGCAGCAGCATTCATGATAGACTGAAGGGGGGGATAGCCTGCTTAGTGGTAGGCCAACAAGGAGGGAGTTACAGTAGTTGAGGCGAGAGATTACAAGGGAGTGAATTAGAAGCTTTGTGGTTTTGTTTGTTTTTAAAAGGGGCGTATTTTGGAAATGTTATGGAGATTTGAGTCGGCAAGATTTGGATAGTGATTGGATGTGGGGCTGACACCTAATGTTGCACCTGTCCTTTTACAAACCTGCTTCTGCCTTTTGAAAAACACAACACAATTTGTGGTGATTTTGTTAAGGAGTGATAACATATTAGTTCTTCAATTTCACTATGTAAGCAGCAAACCATGTTCTATTCTCTTGTTTCTTAGAGGGCAGTTGCAGGCAGTGGAGAGCAAGTACAATGCTCAAAAGAGGATAAGTCAGTCTTTTGAGAGGGAAATCCTGTCGCTGTACTGCCAGCTGGAGAGGGAAGGTCTGATAAAAAAACGGCTGGAAGAAAAAACAGAAACGGCAGAAGTTGCTGAAGAAAGGTGAGTGCAAGTAACATGTTAATAGGGCTGATATTGTCGCCAATTCTCACCCTTCTGTTATAAAGCTGCCCACACACCTTACAATTATCTGCAGCTTTTCAATGGTCAGATGGAAAAGGTGCAACAGATTCCTCCATCTACACTTAACTGTGTGGATGGAGGAATCTCCCACTGGGCCAAGCTTCCGTAATCTTGCTAGTCAGCCCCGCTGGCTCTCAAAATATTTTAGTAATGCCTGCTTCCAATCAGATTGTTCAGGTATGTTGACAGCCAGCGGGGCCGACTAGACAAGATTACGGAAGCTTGGCCCAGGTGGAGATTACTCCATCCACACAGATTAGCATAGATGGAGGAATCTGTGGCACCTTTTCCATCTGACCATAGAAAATCTGCAGATAATTGTAAGGTGTATGGGCAGCTTAAGGCTAACCTACCTGCTCTGTCAGCTGCTAATGTTGGACAATGTGTGAAATACTCGGCACTCCCAGATAATAAAGTTCAAAATATGGAATGCAATTGATCAGTAAGTATGATGCTATGAAAAAAAAAAAATGTAGATATTAGTAAAACCATATATCTCAGTAGCTTAGTAGGTTGTGATGATGATAGAATGTGCAGATTTAACACGTGACTTCTCCCAGCAAACAAATATTTAGGTGAACTATGAGGGGAGTGATTTTTCTTTCATCCTCACAGTTAGAGCCGACGTGTGACAATGAAACTGTCGCACGTCGGCTCAATAGATTGGGAAGTGAGCGAACACATACCGTCGCTTGCTCACTCACTTGCTCACCCCCCCGCTCCGATCCTCCAGCTCCTAACTGGAAGAACGGATGACGGATGGGGGAGGGGGCGGGTTACACCTCTAGATCGGCAAAGCCAGAGTTGTCACTCACGCAGCTGGGTGGATCTCAACAGCATTGTCAGGATCCGTCCCGGCTGCGGCTGTCTCAGCATATCGCGAGCTGTAGCTTGCGATATTCTGAGCTTTGAGTCACGGGAGGAGGTTAGTATATGTCCTCCTGTGACCCTTAAGAGAACAATTGGGAAAAACACTTACCCCGTAGTTCTCTTTTAAAGCTCAAACTCCGTACTGTGCATGAACGAGTATGATAGATTTCTAAAATTGGGATCCCAAAATTGAAATAGAGATCATTTTTACTGCAGCAAACAGTTCTACAATTATACTTTACCACTAATCTGGAAATTCTCTGGTCTCAGTGATGTCAGCCTCCATCAATTTAGGATCAGTTCTTTGTCAGATGTTCAGGTTCTCTTCCCTTCAGTCCTGTCTTTCTTAGTTCCCGTCCCGTACTTTGTCTCCATGTCCCCTCTACCAATCTTCTTGCCACATCAAAGGGAGATCATTTCATACATTTTAATGATCTGTTCAGTCTGAATCAGGCCTGGAAACGGGTTTACTTTCAAGCCAAGCATGCTGTTCTTTTAAAATGATGTCAAATTTCCTTGCATACTTAAAATATATTGTTCATATATTGCTTTCCATTTGTGGTGTTGCAGACATGATGTGGACTGCCCGGCTGTTTCCTGTCCTGATGACTTCAGAGAAGAGGCGAATGGTAGCATTGATGCCAACACCTCCATGCACACCAGTGTCTTAAGCAGCGGAGGGAGCAGTCACAGTGGAAGCAGTAGCACCCTGTCCACACCAGAGAAGGCGGGATCGAACCTACCTCCTACCCAGAGAGAGCTGCTGGAGCTACCTTCTGGAGGTCACCTGACCATCGGCTCTTACCCGAACGCCAAGAGCTTTCTCGGCATCCGGGCCCGGGAGCTGTTTCGCAACAAGAGTGAGAGCCATTGTGACGAGGAAGGTATCTGCAGTCTTTCGGAGATCCTGAAGACCGAGCTATGTCAGGGACCTGGATCTGAGGCCAGAGCTGTGAGCTCAACTGCTGGTAATGCTGGCCCATCAAGTGTGCGGGATTTTCAGATAATGGACTATGATTAGACACATCATGACCACAGTTGGGAGGCGAGCAGTGTTACTGTCCTTCTCACTCCTGGCTTTAATCAAAAGGTGTCTGAACTTTCAGGAAATGTTTCACTACTTCTGCAGTGCAACAGTAGCGGACCACCAGAACTGGAAGGGATGAAACTCGTTACGTCACATCCCACTTTATTTTCCCCCCCCCCCCCCCCTTCATATCAACTACAGCTCAACTCAACCCCCCCTTCCCCAATGAAGCATTTTCTTCCACCCTTCCTTCCATGATACTTAGGCCCGTAATTGGCTAAAATAACATGGGTACCCTGGTCCAAGCACATACTTTTTCTCTACACTGTCCAGTCCGTAGCCCTGTTTGACTGTCATGGCTTTTATCCATGCACTGGTCATGCTCACTGGGATGAGAGATTTCAGTGGTTATGGATATATCTATATTTTTCTTTTTTTTTGTACTTCCTATCAGCGCAGCCTGAGTATTTACGTACTGGAAGGAACATTTATATTTGTCAGAACTATGCCATCTTCACCCTCCCTTACGTTAGGAAATATCGCCAGCGTCTCGCAGCCAGCCCCCTTCCCTGGCGCTGGAAAATGGCAGCTTAGTCCAGCATAATGCTTGTTAGAAGTGGCCTTAAATCTTAGTTGGATGCCAAAATGTCACAAGGGACCAACAATTTTTTTTTTCTGGGCTCATCTTCAATTACAAGACATTTTATTTTCTGCCACACAATCAAGGTAATACCCATGCTTTGTCCTGTCCGGGAAAAGTAAGAGTTTCACTGCAATGGTTGCCCAAGCAGCTACACATGCTTGTCCTACTCTCACTTGGAATAAAAAAAATAGTGCACTTCCAGATATGGGAAAACAGCTGCCCTCTCGCGTACTGCGCTGGCATTTGGTGGGTAGTCGCTCAGACACCCGGATTTTTTTTTTTTTTACATGGGTATGGGGAGAGACTCCTCATCCCCTATGTAACATCCAAGTCTTGCTTGGCAGATTACAAAGGATTTAGTCTATTATGTTCAAGATGGCTGAACGGAGCAGAAATCCAAGCATGGGCAGCTGTCAGGGCGAGCATTAGAGTGAACTCGTTGCTTTGCCATTCATGGGCAAAGCACAGGTTAAATTTATAAGGTCGGTCCACCGAAACTGCTCTTTCCCTTTTCGGTGCAGCCTAGTGGCCAGAGTCACCCGATGGTTTCCCTATATCTCTCAGTGGCTCCAGTAACCCTGCTGTAGGTTTTCCCTTATCTTGGAGTCTAGCCGCTTCCGCTGTAGCAAGTGAAGCCTTCAAGGTTTGGCTTTGTACTTTTATAATCCATAAACTCCAGGGGTTATGAGAGAGCTGTAGACTTTGGGCGACATGAGAAGCCGGTGGGGTTATTGTAACCCCTTGGCATTTGCCCAGAATGGAGGTGCCAGTTGTGTGTGGACCTACCCAATAATTGTGGCCTTGCCATGATATGAAACGGTCTGTTTCTTTCCGACAAGCTGAGCTAGCATTTTGGTTCCTCTGTCATTTCATTCTGCAGGATGCCCTGGGGCAGAGTAGGAAGCCGTTCCACAACTAGGAACAGTTTCAAGGCATTTAATCTGTACGTGAAGCTTATAAGATGTATATTTTTTTGCACTTTGACACACCCCTTCCCGATTGTAGACACTACATCCTAAAACTCTTGGCCCTATGTATTATTACATCTATAGAAAAGGCAATTTGTGTGTTTCCCATAAGTCAGTTTTTCTTTTTCTTTTTTTTTTTGAAACCTGCAGGAGAAAGAAAAACCTGGAATCTGGTTACTACAGGAAACGTGCACTAAATTTCAGGTCTTTGGGTTTTTTGTTTTTTTTTACACGAATATGCTAAAGAGTTGGTTTCTGTGCTATCCATAAGCCCCCCTGTTCAAAGATATTTTGGTTATAATTCAATGCACACACAGCATTATGCCATGAGACAGTGCAAAGGGCAATGAGGATGGTAGAGTCTTTTGAACTGCAATTTCTCTTGTCACTTTGTCATGTTTGGACACTTTGTGATATCGAATACCTTTTTCTTGTCTTCAGATCATGTCCTTTGTGCCTGGGCAGGACTGTGGATCCTAGACCTATACAGAGTCTTGACATGTCTCCCAGCTGATATTGAGCCCCATTTTCTCCTTGGCTATGACCCACCCTGTGCCATTCAGCTGTCAAATGCCCGATCCTCTATTGGCCTATGAGTTTGACAATTTAATGACGGGGAACATGGGTTAGTGTGAGAAGTGGGCTCGGGCCTAATCTTGGAGGAAAGCGATTCCTTGGACACAAAGGAACTTCTCAAGTCAAACACGGGTACCCGGTGTTTAGAAGTACCTGACTTTTTTTTTTTTTTTATTATTATTTGAGGGTACCTGGTGTCTTGATCTGAAGAGAAGCGCAGGTACCTGGTAATAATTTATACGCTTTGAAGTCAACTTGTCATGTACACTGTTTTGTGAAGGTGGTGGAAGGTTGTCCACACTGAGTAGAATTCCCTGACTTACCACCTGCCATTATTTTTTTTGGCTGTGGGGGATACAGAAAGCAATAAAAACCTCACTCTATCCAATCCCTGTGCTATCTAATCCCAAACAAAAAAAGCTTGGGCTGGAGATTTCGTAAAATGAATTGCTTCTCTACTGCGTTCTTGGAGCACATTAAAGTGACACTTAACTCAGCAGTTAAATGTTACAAATACAATCAAGTTCATTAACTATTAACAAAAATGAATCTTATTTGTGTATCACTAGGCTGTAGATCCTCCAATCATCTCTGAATTGGTGTGGACACTATCTGTCCTTCGTGAGGGTGGCTACTTTTGTTCCCCATGGTCCCTGTGTGTGTTGTAAAGTAGTCACCACTCCAAGCTCCTTTTATGGACTAAAATCGCAATACAAATTAATAACCTGAACATGGGATTGTAGTCCATCACGGGAGCGAGCTTGTAGCGGTGGCAACTTTACAACACACACACAGGGACCATGGCGGACAAACGTAGCCCCCCTCCAGAAGGAAGAACACCAATTCAGAGATGATTTGAGGATTCTAAGGCCGAGTGATACACAAATCAGATAGATGTTTGTTAATAAGGTGCTTTTGAATGCATTTTTAAGATTTAACTCCTGAGTTTAGAGTCACTTTAACTGTGGGAGCACACACAATTTGGAATCTTTTTAAGTCCTCACTTTGCTACTCCTGTCTCAGCATACATCATTCCAATGCGAGCACCTATCGTATTTGCCGCCATATAAGGTGACTGGGCGTATAAGACAACCCCCTACTTTTTCTGTTAAAACATAGGTTTTGGGCTATACTCGTCTTATAAATAATGTTTCAATGCACCCACTAACATCCATGGAGGTATTCCCGAGTGTGGCTCGGAGTTGATTTTCAGTACCATAAGCGGTAACCCCCGAGCCACACTCGGGATTACAGTCTCTTACCTTGTCCACGATACCCGCTGTGTCCTCCGGGTTCCGTCCCTTGCGAGCGTCCGCGTCGCAGGGGAGCGGAACCGGCGGCAATTTTAAATGTTAAAAAAAAGAACAAAAAAATTACATCGTCAGACCGCCAGGGAGGCTAATCTGCCAGCCCGCTGGATGTGCTGTAGTACTGTATGTACGGTAGCTTCGGCTACATACAGTATACTGCGCTGAGCCCATCACGGCAGGCTTTGTATTCATTAATACAAAGCCTGCCGTGATGGGCTCAGCGCAGTATACTGTATGTAGCCGAAGCTACCGTACATACAGTATTACCGCACATCCATACCGGGCATATAAGACGACCCTTGATTTTCGGGGGATGTTTTTAAGTCTTATTTTCAGAACTGATCTTAAGACTCAAATTTTGGCCGATTCGTGCTGAATTGACCGAAATATGAGTGGTGGGTAGCCCTGCAAACACCACCCAGCTCAACAAAAGTAGATTTGCAAATCTGAGCTGGGTGGAAAATTTCGACCGAGCAGTCACTGCATTCTGTTAGAAGGGACAGTGGGTCCTGCAGCTGCTGAATACATTGGGGATTCCTCCATCCACATTGTTTAGCATGGCTAGGGTAATTGATTTTCTCTCATTCATGTGCTCTAAAAACACAGTGAAGGACTAATTTAAAGAGAACTCCAGCCATGTATGGCTAACTTATGTTAAGTATGCATACTGAAGAGACAGGTTAGCTTGTTGCTGTTGTTGCTGCAGTATAGTGGACTCAGGAGTTGCTGCTTTTTGCACATCCTCATTGCTCCTCGACTTGCCTTAATAAATAAGTCTGATTATCTATTCAGGTTGTTACGCAGTTTTATAAACACGTAAAACTGATTGCAAACGTGTCTCAAGTGATCTTGTCTTTGAGGAAATCCATGTCTGGCCTAGATGCTGGGAAGAATTACCTGCTTGTTACAACCAATCACAATCTCCCAGTGCTAGTAGAAGTAAAGAAATGTACTTGCTCTGGGAGTTCAGATCTTCTTTCAGATGAATCTTTGTCTTTCCTCTTTACCAGCATTCTATTGATTTGACACCTACAAGGTTTGTGCAGTCAATTTGTAATGGAGTCCATATCGCAGAGCTGACCGTTATTTGAGGGAATCCAGTCACAAGTGTTTTTCACTGTTGCAGTGAACCCAGATGGTACTCGAATAATACTTTTCCCCTAATGAAGTATCCCATCCAGCCCCCCTCTGCACTTTTGGGATAGTTGCAAATTGGCCAATGTCTGACAGCCAGCTAAGATAGCCTGTCCCTCTTTCTGCACCCTAAGCCATTTGGATCATGTCTGCTCATTTAGATAACCAATAGTATGGCCGCTCCCAGCACTGCTTACCGAGGTGTCTTGGAGTGGACCTTACTGTGTAAAAGGGCCTTCACAGCTTAGATGGCAAGCAACGACCACATGGGTGGGCAAACTGTCTGAGTTGGTTGTCAGGCCCTCTCCAACCTTCCTGACTTGAATAAACGTAGTGTAGATGAACAAAGCAAAGAACATTTCTGGCTGAAATCCCTCTCTATGTTCATGCTGCATGGTGGGTTTTGTTTTTGCACTGGACCTTCAAACGTCGCATAGTATTTATCAGAATACTGCACAAGATTGGTAAAGGATGCATAGTGCAGTTTGGCTTTTATTTGTGATAAGATATCATTTGTATATTGGCACACTTT